AAGTAATATAAATAAATCTGATCCAAAGAAATGTGATAAAGTCTACTATCTCAATTCACAGCAATGTTAAAAATCTCTATACTAAGTGATTTGCTGTTGTCTCAGTCCAGCCAGTAGGATAGACTAAAAAGCAAAAATATCTGTAAAAATTCAAAGTATGAAAGGTGTTCATTAAGATTTAAATCAAAATCCTCTGATTCTTTGGATCTCTGTTGATGGTAATAATTTTGATACATTGTCATTGATAAGCGACTTCACTAATTTTCTCAACAGATTTTACTGATGGATGCCATTTTCTGCATATTTAAAATACTATCATAAAACTGAAAATTATGTTCATAAGCCCAAAAGACTCCTTGCTTTCCATCACAGTTCAGCTATCATGTGATATTTCAATATATGACAATTATTTTCTGAAAGCATTTTTTAAGAAAAGACCATAATGTAACAAGATTATATAACATTTTTAATTATATATTGGTATGGAGAATAGCTTTCAGAATAACGAAGAGTTTCAGTGCAAGCATTAAAGTTGCATGATGCTTTGAATGTTTGTGGAAGCTGTTCTGAGCCTTCATACAATGCAACTCACAATGTCAAAAGACAGTACTTAGCATTCCGCATTGTTATCGGGAAAGCTCTACATAGTTTATTGCATGTTGATTGTATTAATTACAGCTGGAGGCATTGATAGCATAAATAGAGTGCCTTTAATTAGTCAGAATTCATTATTAGCTTTTCTGTTTTAAGGAGATAAACTAGCTTCTTAAAGAAGTTCCCAAAAAATATATTATTCAGTCAAAATAAAAACACAATAAATGGGACAACAGGCCACAGTCTGCATTTCCCAGAATACTGCTGGTTGTCCTCATGCTGGGTTCTACTCTTAGGCAAGGTCTACAAATTTTTCAGGATTTTTTTTTGTGTGAATTAACTCATACAATCTCTCTCTCTCTCACACACACACACACACACACACTTTAGTTGCTTCCTAAAATCAGCTGCACATTTCATTGTGGAAAAGTCTGTCTTAACTGCTAGACTACAGCATCTATCAGAATTACCACTGTGGTCCCACTTTTCAGAGGTTTACCAATCAACTGCCAACATTTGCTCTCTACTGCAATTTGACCAAGAAGATTTCAGCACCCATGAGACTTTTTTAAAATTTTTTTTCAAAATTTTAGGAAAAGTTGATTTAGACATTGCTAAGTAACGTGGAAGTAATGAACCAGTTTTTAATATATATTGCATAAAGTATTTCAACCTTAGAAATAATATTAAGTCAACAAGGAATCCCTAATATTGTAGCGTTTTGATTACTTGTCTTGCTGGGAGGGAGTTGAATAGCAGAACCATTAGTTTTTCTTGGACATTGAGAGAAAAAAACATGAACTGAATCTAAACTGTTTTAATAGAAAATATTAAACTTGACAACACATCTCTATTGCCTTTATCATAAATAAACACTCCTTTGCTTCCCTTTAGAACCATCAGAATCCCTAGATCTTACACCTGTACCTACTAGAGAAAATTCATCTGCTAAACCAGATGCATCAAAATAAATATAAAGATGAAACTGAACAACTCCTTTACACAAGAATTGTCTCCAATAAATGAAGGATAAAATCATCGAGCTACTCACAGATCATCCCATCTCTGCTTTCCCAGACTTGATCTTTCAAAAAGACCTTCCAGAGATGAGACTTGGAACTAAAATTCATAAATTTCCTGAGTAATAAGAACTATTAATTTAACAGGAATACTGGTTTAATGACACATTATTACCTGCCTCCCTCAGTGTTCTCTAAATGAATTGTCTCTTTCTTTTCCATTGGAGGTAATTGCTCCTTACTAACATCCTCTCTGCTTTCCAGGTACCAACTATTTTCTTTAGAAATTCTCTGATACATATTTTATATGAAAAACACATATCTTTAAACTTCTGTTTTGTACCAGACTTGTAGAACTGCAGATATACTCTAAAGCTTCCTTACTTTTCTTACTACATTTGTTGGTCTGACTGAGATAATTCTCTTTAGAAGCAAGCACTGTCCTTCCTCTGCCCTTGCACCGCTTTTGCTTCAGCAGTCTTCCTAGCAGAAATGTTCTAGTTCTTCTCTGGATCTCAAACATCACCGTCTTTTGAAAAAGCTGTAGTGAATTTGGAAGAAAGGGTAGCTTGGGAAGCAGAAATATAGATTAGCACTAATATTTCTTCCTTACCTTCTCTAAAATTGCCACAGTTGCTCCAAGAGGTTGCCTTTGCTGACACTGTGTGCCAGTGCTATTGTAGGTGCAATTCAGGCAAGTGATAATGCTTTGTGCTCCCTGACCGCATCCTATGAGCATCGTCAGATTCTAGTGTTAGGCTTATGCAAGTGGCAGGAATAGAAAATATATTCTACCATGCGACTGGGTGTCATAACATGCATTTAACTGTTATTCCTAAAAACTTTTGAAGCTTTGGTGTAAACAAAGAGTCTTCGGCTGCTTTCAGGGAATGCAAATATGATGAGCAAAGACAGAGCAAGCTAATATTGAGATGTCTAGACCAGCATATTGCTGTATGGATTAGTTGTACCAGTTCTCACTGGCATTAGCTGAACAGCAGAAGAGAAGGATTGGTTGTGAAGTTGGCCGTATATGTGAAAATAATACGATGGTGTAAAAATATTTTTGAAGTATGTTTTTTACATATTGAAATGATGAAAAGTTCAATATCTCTCCCTTTAAATCTGCTATACTACTTGCTGGATTTCTACACCAGCAGTTCTGTTTCCTGAGGCAGAAAATTAGTTTTTTCCATTTTGACTGCAAACAGATAGGTAGTATTCCCCTGATTCACCCCAGATTATGTGTACATGCCAACAGGAGATGATGTGGAATCAATAACAAGTGTAGAAGTAGCAGAAAAAAACGAACCAAAAACAAAAGAAGCAATTGGCATATTTTAGCAATTACAACACATGACTGAGCCTTGCCAGATTTATCTGTCAGAAGCAAATCTTATATGAGATCATCAAGGCTCTTCAGAAAGTAGAAGTACATTACCTGTGTACTTGGTGTTGGACAATTGAGTAGAGACAATTACAGTCTGGCAACGTAAAGGAATCTGTCAAACTTTGGAAAATTTCATCCCTTCTAAAGGAAGCCATGGATGTTGAAGTTACCTCTACAGCTCTGGCTAATCTTCCTGGCCTCTAGCACAAGTCTGCATGCGTAACGTTTTTGTGCCAGCTGTTGGAACAGCCATGGCCAGACATAAGTTGAATCAACCCCAGACCAAGTTTAATTTACCCAGTAGAGCTGCACTGTTCCCACCAGCTTCTCCCTTCCATTCCCTTTGCCTTGCAATGAAATCGATTAGTCAAAAAGGATGGATCTGGTTCTATCAAAATGAGATTATTTACCGAGGTCCTTTGAATTCTGTGTTCAAGTGTCAGCTTGAAATTATTTTGTCTAGTTAATGGTTATATGGAAGCTTTAATGTATTACAGCTCTTTATGGTGGAAGAGGAGAGATGGGAACTTAAGGAGGCATCAGCTATGCAGAGTGTACAGGGATTAGTTTCGTATATGAAAAGAATTACAAGACGTGCCCAAGGAATGTTGGAGGTTTATGACTTAGATGTGTCCTTCCAGAGCTGTCTTCCTCTGATTATAAAATGAGTGACCTCTCATTCTTGTGTTTCCTACCCACTTTTTCAGTGAACAAGTCTGCAGTTCAGTTTGCAATAAAAAGCAGTAACAATAAAAACGACTGTTCTGCTTTCGTTTTTGAGCTGTAACAATCAAAGGCAGTGTATCATAAAGTGGCACATGTGAAATGAACATTGAACTTTGCATGAATGTATGTTAACGTGAAAATCATCTTTAAAAGCTATCACAAAGTAGTCTTCAGGAGAGGCATAAATTGCCCATTAAATTGAATAGGTGAAGAAGGTCCTTGCTCCCTCCTCTGTGATAAAGATCCCATTAAAAGTTTTTTTTCACAGCAGCAAAATAGATATGTGACAGCTGTGATGAGAAGATTCTTCTGTATAGCCTTGCCAGTAACTAAAATCATGTTACTCTCAATAACAATTTTTTTGTTTAAAACATATGACGTTTTATAGCAATAAAAAATTGTTACGAACAATAGTTTATAACGTATTTACTTAACAATGTTTTTTTTCAATGTCAGCAATAAGATCCTGACTCAATTCAATGTTTACTTCTTAAAAACACTAAAAAACTGTTAGTATGTGGTTCTTAGCTCTGATCACTAATTCCATCCCTTTATTGACAAATTTTGATGGTAAATTAAACTGGAAAGATTAAATCGTTTAATACAAATCAGCTGTCCCACAGTTCAGGAGCACTGAGGTGGTATCACACTGTTGGTGGCATCCATCTCATGTCTTGAGCTCATCTAACTCACCAACCATCCAGACTGAGAGAGGTACAGCACTTGCTATGTCCCCCTGTTGCAGGGGGCTCCAAGCGGTGCCAAGTCAGCGGTAAGCAAACACATCTCTTGTCATCGTCTTTAAGCCTTTTTCCTTAGAGAGGGTAAGGATTTTTAATCAAATTGACCCCCACGGTCTCTCATCAAACGCAGGTTATTCCTCCCAAGTATTTATTTGTCAGAAAAAGACTCTCATGAGTCCCGTAGGCTTTCAAAGTATAGCTCTGTGGATTATGGGTCACACCTCGTGTATACTTTTGCTGAGAGAGCAATACCAGCTAAAATCTGCAGAGCAAACCTCACTTAAAAGACAGATTTTTAGCGTGAACAGAACTGGTGAAAGGGCTAAAGAAGGAAGGAAGCCTTAACACTTAAGAATTGTATTAGCTGTAAAGTTTATTTTTGTAATAATAAAATCCAGCTTGATTTTATTTTATCACACTCGACAACCTGCTATTTCCTTTGAATTTTTTTTAATAATAAAAAGAATTAGAACAAATAGGAACATGAACTTTACTTTTATGAATGATATTTTGATTTGTATTTTTCAGGGACTGGTTGAACATGTTCAGTCCCCCAATCATTCCTGGAAGCCAACAGCTGGAAGAGCACACTAAATCTTCAGCAAATCAGAGTATTCCAGGTAGGAATTTATGAAGACAGTGAAAAGGACCTGGGTAGAAAGATATTTCTAAATGCTGTTTCTGTGGTGCTGGTGCTGCCTTTTCATAGTTTTCTATACTGCTACGTTTTGATTCTAAATTCTTTTATTTTTCTTAGCTCAAGCTAGCAGTTTTCCATGCAGCTTTATTTGCCTTTGATAGAAGACTAACTTAGGAAGTTGCCGTTTCCTAATGTTCTGGCTCAATAAGGGTTAACTCATATAAAAATATATCTTATTTGTTTAAAATAAGGTGTTTTTGCTAGTAGAGGTGGCAAATCTGTGAAAGAAAGAACACAAAGGCTAAACATTCTTATTCAGAAGCACAACTACACTTACATAAGTGATACTTCTCTTATGAAGAAAGATTTCAGATTTAGCCTCAAATGAAATGTCAGCGTTATTTCCTGAGTAAAGACTGTTGTCACCACCTAAAGTGTTAACACGTTTTTGTTTATTAATGGTGTTTGCTTAGAGAATGGCAAAGAACTTAGCTGAAACTGGAAAGTCAACAACAACAGAATAAAACAAATACCTTGTATTCTTCAAATGCCCTTTTTTCTTACTGGTTGTCTTAGGAAACAGGGTAGATATCTACATTTTTCTTCAAGTCTGGGGAATTCAATGTGAAATCTCATAAATCTGACCTGTGTGTTTTGGTTGCCCGAGGGATGAAGATGTCTCAGTGATTTACTGTCAAAAGAGATTATGCCCCTCAAATTGGGAATGTTTTCATAGATGTATATTCATAATTATTTATGACAGCAAAATAGAATTTTGCTGTCAGGAAGGGACCTTGCTTTGAAGAATCAAATAAATAATATGTTTTGTTAAGGGTCCTAAGTAAGCCAAAGAGAATTGGACAGTAATCCTTGAGTTAAAGGCATGTTGAATATAAACTTGTGATAGGTCTCTGTGAATTTTTTTATGTTAGTATTATGAAATCCAAGGCTTGCTGCAGTAAAGTAAAAATTTCTGTTTAAAAATAGCATTATTATCTTTAAAAAGCTTTTAAAAAGAAGTGTAGTTGGGAATTTGTTGGATTTCTTCTGTTATTCACAGTAGAATTTCTAAACTGTTTTATGAATTGTTCCTAAACTCATTTTCCTTTATGCTGAAATATTTCACATCATGCATTCATAATTGCACATTTGGAGAACAGAAAAACTCTATGTAGCATAGCTTTTTATTTTGACTTTTTATTTTTGTGCCTTTATTCAATCAAATTAAGTTCTGACTTGTGTATATGTATGATATTTATAATTTTGATAACTTCACACAGAAACTTTTCTATCTCCAAATACTTAAAAAAAACTGCCATAGTGCTGAAGTGATCAAGCTTCCTTTGGAGGAAGTAAGAAAGAACAACAAAGCTGTTCCATGACCTTCCCTCACTAAACAGGACAGTTTGGATTTTTCTGAACTACTAGACAATCTTACCTATTAAAGTAACAGAGAAGCAGCAGAGTAATCATAGCAGCTGTGGGTAGGGGAGGTCTGATTGGCAAACTAAGGAGTTACCTGTACAATATATAGCATCTTCAAGCAACTCTAAACCTCCCTTTCTGATTGTTTACAGTCGTTGGAAAATAATGTCCTTCCATAATATTGAGAGAAGACTGACATGGTTTTGCTCACGTAAAAGATACACTTAAGTTAAAGACGGATCTCTGGACATAATATGGTGGTGTGTGAAAATGCAGTGCCATGCAATACGTGCCTATCAGATTAGATTGTACACATCAAAAGCATCTGTGTGGGTGGTTTTTTTTTAAATCTTGATGGACCATGGTAACTAGATGATCTGGATAATCAGCTTAGAAAGAGAGGCTAAATAGGTTGTGTCCTGTGATGTATCTCTAGCACTTCAGAAAAAACTTTTTCTTAATCACTTCACTTGAGTTTATTTATTTGTGTGACAAAAGAACTGTTTTATTACCGACAGTTAAGTACCACATCTGATCAACAAACTGAACGCTCAGATTTCATTCCAGAAAATTCTACTGCCCTGCTCGCTTATTTTTTTTTTTTAAATATTACATAGAAAATGAGTTATTTCTTATATTGGGAAGTGACTTAGGTGTCACGAGATAATTTTGTTGTATGTGTGCAGTTTGCAAGTATTCCAAGCACCACAGGATAACAAAAGCATATTATCAATACTGAAAATCTGCAGTAAATCATACTGTATTCAAGATATTGATTTTATCTGAAAGTATCCTTAAGGAGAAATAGATAGTATAGGATTAGTATATTTATAAAGATTCTTTAATTCTTATATTTAGAAAATAAGCTTTAAGTTGAGGAATAACTGGGGAAAAAATGTGATTTATTTCTAAGAAAGTATTTTACTCTATAGTTCCTTTCTTAACGTTTGCACCATCCATAGTACATAGTTAAATAGGGAGATGTAATGAGAAGTCATCTTCTACTCAACAGGTTTCACAAGATAATAAAGAGGAAAATTTAAACTCATAAATATGATAAATTTCCATAGATTTTTCCCTTATTGGGCATTGATATTTCTGATTTATAGACAATTTAATTTATCTTGACAAGTCATACAAGAAAGTTTCCACAGTAAGGGACAAAGGCAGAGTCATAAATTCTCTGGAACTTACTTTATTGTCTCTTGTTACTTGTCTTAAGATAGTGCTCTAGGAACTACAGCACTGAATAGCCTTCTTTCTTGGACTACAACTGTTGACAATAGCCATATGGTAACCCTGCAGTATATAATTACAGTGTAGATTTGAGCAGTGTAGTTCAATGTTCAAGGATCCTATTGGAGGAAATATTAGCAGTGTTCTTTTCAGCATCCCCTCTGCTGACAGCTGATCCAGTGCGGTTGACTTGTACGAGGGTCAGAATATGATTCATGTATCTTAAAGTAAGATTTGCTACAACCTATTTTCTAATAGAATACAGCGAAACATATTTCTGTGAAAAGGGAAAGTATTTAATTTAGTTCTTCAGACTGTAGTGACTATGTAAACATTTAGTGTTAATGTAATCCAAATAACAACGCAGTTATTTGTACATCTATTTCAGAGTTCAGAAAAAACTGCTACACGCCTCCTCCATTCTTTGTTATCTGGGTTTGGACATGTTGAGCAAAAGCCTTTCTCCATAAAAACAATAGCTCCCCTAATTTCAGTGGGGCAGCATTTAATTTAATATGACAGGTATTCAGAGGTACTATCTTCAATCTTGTTTCAGCTCAGAACTAAAAAGTACTCATCCTCCATCCAAAGGTATATCACAGACTGAAGTTTTCATTTAAAATCAAGTTATTTTCTAGCCTAAAATATTGTTTAATTTTCTAGTGATTTAAGAAAAAAAGCTTTGATTTTGCTTTCACCATGATATTCAAATTAAACTGCCAAGAAGTGTTTTCATATAATCTGGAGCAACTTCAACCCCAAAAGTGTGGATGGTGGCAGCATAAACTGCTATGGAAATTTTCTTTGAAAGCGACTTATTTGACTTAGTTAGTTTGGCCATGGAAGCTTCATTCCTACATATGGTCAGGTTGCACACAATATACCATTTGGAAGTGAAAAGATGCCTTCTAACACAACCATTATGCATTAGTTCAGTCTTGTAGAAGAATGTAACTTAATTTAATTAGTACTTCTTTTTAGGAAATAGAAGAACAGAAGTGAGATTTTCATATTTATTTTTTTTAGTCTGTTTAAACTGAATACTCCATGCTGCCATTGTAAATCTGTTGCAACATCTAGAAATGCCTTAAAATGCATTTGGGGATATTGTGAGATGCTAAAAGAAAGAAGGCTAACTTTAAAAACAAGATACATCTAGAAAACTAAGTTTTCTTCTTGTTCACCTGAAGATACATGCAGGGAATTACTGCTATAAAGGTATAAATCCAGCTAGTCCTGGGTGCAATCTAATTCTGATTTGGTATGAATTGAAGGCATACAGGGAAAGAAGTATACCCCTGATGAGTCTGAAGAATTTCTTATTCCTAAATCAAACCAGGGAGTATATTGAGAGGCCAGTTCCGAGGGAGAGAGAGAAGGAAATTTAAGCTTAGAGAAGAAAAGAGAATTGTTTTGAAGAGAAGCATAGGCAGGGAAGAGTGAAGTAATAAACGGAAGAATTCAGTGGAAATAAGAACATGGTTTCAGGTGAAAATGTAAGGCTATGTGAGGGAATGAGGCATGAATGCCATTTGCTTGTTTGCTATGATCTGAAGTATAGAAAAAGACATTCAGTTCTGTGCCTTCTTTCTGCAGTGCGTAATTTTTCCCAAGAGCTATCCAAACAAAACGTCTCAGTTAACCTCATTTAGCCTACCAGGCCTGATAAAGTACCCACAGCAAGAAGGGCAACGATTTAGCTTTACCTTTTTACCTTTGGTTACAGTAAGAGACAGTTTCTTTTTGATGGCATGTGTTAATGCTTCTGAGGAAATAAAAATGAAATCTCTTCCCAAACGATGAAGTGCACGCTGCTTCTGTATGCATTAAATGCACCAACCTACTTTCTGGTCTCTAGATAATGTAACCTATATATCGTTGTATGATCCTGGCTGTAAATAGATTCTGAGCGTTGTGAAACTGCTGCTGTTAGCATAACAGGCCATTACTTATTATGAAATGTTAGGGCATACAAAGCATTCGGTTTGTATTAGCCGTCTGAGAACAAGATGAACATTTATGATGAAATTCGAGATACATATTGCGTTCAGCAGTGAATTATTTCCTATCAAAAAGCTATAGATCATGTAACTTAGATTTAGCTTATATGAAAGATAGACAGGTTTAGAAAGGAGCTACAATATCCAAAGCGTCTGTAATAGAAGTCTGTATGGCTTTATCAGTGTATTTTAGGCTAAGGATTCATTTCTGTTACCTGAAAACATTCTTGCATTTTATATAACTTCAGATAATCTAGATTTAAAATTTTTATTGTCTGAAAGAATCTTACTTCCTTTCTGGTACTGGAAGCTCTTTTGTACAGATTTACCTATGCTGGACATTTAGGTGACATGCTGGGCACTAGACATTCAAATTCTTTCATTCTCACAGGACTTAAGTACACACTGACTGTCTCTGTTCACACTAAACCATTACTGTTTAAGAACGCTGTTGAGAAAAATGTCACTTAAGAATGCTTTGATCTGCTGTCAGTAAAGGTGCTTCTGGTGAACTGCTCCATTGGACTTTGTAAAGTCCACTTGTTAATCAAACTCTGACTGACATCGTTTCACCTCAACTAAATGCAAGTTTTCAGAAATGTAATAATGATGTGAATTACTGTTATCTTGAAGGTAACAATTCAGAAGTCAAAAGATTATACGCTTTAAAGAAAAATTCTGTCACATCTGACAGAAAGGTATTTCTGTGTTATTGTCTAAGTGAATAAGAATGATTTATTCTTACTTTTCACACAACACAGGTGAAGATGACCTCAATGCTGAAGAAGATGAAGTTTTGACTCTTTTGTATGATCCGTGTCTGAACTGTTACTTTGATCCAAGTTCTGGGAAGTACTATGAATTGGCGTAGTCAGATCATGAGAGGATGTCGTCTTGCATTCAAAGTAGGTTTATCTTTTAACTGTTTGTAAAGTGTGACTGAGCTGTATAATTTATCATGTAACTTAAAACTTGAATTAACCAATAGTTTTTGCAAACAAATTAATGTATTTTGTAAATAGTGTCTTATTTTTATAGTTTTGTATTAAGTTGTAATGCAGTGGAAAATCACATAACATAAAAGTTCCTTGTGACTGAGACATTTATTCATTAGTCTAATTTATTTCCAATATTCAAAGGTTCTGTATGGAAACAAATGAAGTTGAATTAAGAAGTTTGTGGTGTTTATCTGTAAATTACATGTTTACTCAAATAAAAAAAAACATTACTTGCGTACTGTGTATTTTTAGTTTGTTCTGAGCTATTTTATTCTTTGTACTCTAAGATATACGGTGTGTTACTCAATGGCCTCCATTTCATAAGCTCGCTCTCTCCCTTTAGTCATCAGAGAAAGTAGTATTTTACTCTTCTTCAAGAAGTTCTCTGCTGTTGCATATTACAGTAATGGGCTGATGTCAAAGCTGTGGGATGGTACAGTGTGTGCAATGCAGTACGCTTTAAGGTGTGTGCATGGGCGGTTTATAAATCTAGACCACAACAGAGTAAATGTGGCAGGTTCAGGGAGTACCAGCTACTGTTCACTGATGTAATTTGACATAGGACTGAAGAGCAGTAAGAGCAATTCCTTCAACACTCAAAAATTGGAGCCCTAGTTCATGTAAGGCAAGGAGGTATGTGTATGAGTCATACGGGAAGGTGCTCAGAGTGCAGGTCCAACATGTTTGTATTCGTTTTTCTGTTACACCTTGCAATAAAAGAATGTAATTTATTTAACCCATCTGTATTGGGTTTCAGTGCAGTTTTCAGTGAGAGTCCTAAAGTTCCAACTTAGAGATTTAAATTACCTGCATGCCTGCAATTTTTTTTTTTTCTGTGGTACATGCAACATCCCTGTTGACCATGGAGAAAGACTATAGACATAATCCAGACCATACATAGCTTTCAAAAATAAAATCAGCATATGCAATGAATAAAATACTGTGCATGGAGACACGTCAAGCTTTTGTCTGTTCTCAAAACCAGTTAACTTGGTCCTGGTGTTTCTGCGTTACCGTGGCTGCTACTTAGCTCTGAGCAGTGCCCAACATTTCCAGCCCCAGAGCAGAGGAGATTCTGCAACACTGAGCAGTGCTGCTCACCCCTAGTGGCCTCCCCCACCAACAGGACATTTGCTCAAGGGGTAAATAAATCATTAAAAAATCAGCTGCCTGGTATTGAAGGAAAGGCATGAGGCAGGGGTTGCCCATGAAACAAGAAGTCCAAGGAGTTGTGTTGTAATGGAGTTAGTGGAGCAGCTTTGGAGTCCACCACTTCAGTAGGTAACGGCTTTCTGGAGACAGTTAAAAAAAAGTCAAAATCACATGGCAAAAGTGCTCTATAGGCATTTCTGGTGATTCTTGTTCTAAGTTTCTACTTGATTATATCCAGTGCTATTCCACTGTAATTATTTGCAAGCTGATTACTCAGTGCATTTTTAAGAATGATGTATTTGAATGTCATAAAGTGAGCTTAGTAAGCTCACTGGCAAGTGATTTAGAATGATATGTCTGCAAATTAGATGTAATTATGGATCCCAGTTAATGAATATCCTAGAATCAATTGAAAATGCAGTTGTTAATAGTGGCTTGGCATAAGATCAGATTGTGTATTTGGCTTCTGTGGCAGGTACAAACATATCATCAAAAAATGATTCAAGTAAGTAGCACTGAAATCCACAGGAAGACAGATACTGTGTTGAGATAATTTACTTACCCTGCCTTAGCCTGTTTCTCCCAGAAAGATTTGTACCTGTTCTTGCTAATGCCATAATCGGTTTAAAAGTTCAATGAAATCATAATTTTGACCTTCAAAAATCAGATGCTAGCTTGTTCACACTTGTGCGTATCTAACCACTTTCTTTTTAGCATCGTTTAGTGATGAGGACCATGCTCCCTGCATCAGCGGCGAGGGCTATATAAAATGCCTTGTTAGTTTTCCTTTCATAGCCACATGTCTCACAGGAGTGGTTGGATGTCCTAGAGCACCACTGTGGATCCAGACTGGATCACTGATGCTACTGAAAGAATTGCTCACTTTGGAAAAAACAAAAACAAAAACAAAACACAACAACAACAACAAACTGGCTGCAAACTGGTGTGTGCTGTTTATGAGTCAGAAGTCTGCAGAGGTCCGATGGGTTGTCTGCCAATGCCCGTCTGGGTAGATGGGCTGCTTGTGGCTTCACAGCAGGCAATCACTGATGTGTAATGTATAAAAGGGCACCAGTGGACATCCAAAGCTTGGACAAAAGGCAGTCCTCGGAGACTCCACACTCTTACCCACACCTTTAATGGGATTAGGAGGCAGGCAGGTAGCAACATTAGGCTCAGGGTGAGTCTCCTGTTCCAGACAGGTGCATAGGCAAGTCCAGGTACGCTCTGTTTTCCTGCCATTAGCACAGTAGTATTTCACAGGTAAGTCCTGCTTTTCAAAATCAGCAGTTTGGGATCCTTGCCCTTGTGTCCTAGTTAGCAGCTTTATGTCTTCAACATCCGTGGGGATCAATTGCCATAATGCTGTGAACAACACCTGTGGGTTGAGCGGTACGCAAGGCTTGGCTACAAGGACTGTAAGTTTTGCTCATGATGTTTTTCTTAATCATCGTCCTGTGAACCTAGAACTAAGGCACTGCTGCCACGCAGCATGCCTTTTGTTTAGCCCATTTGTCAGAGCCAGCGTTTATGGCAAGTGATGAAGAACACAGATTTGCTCGTAGCAGCCCGTGTGCAATGTTTTAGCCCGTGAGGATCACATAGTTCTCACTAGGGTGTACTTTCCAACAGGTAAGAAGACTTGTGTCAGGGCATAAAGTTCCAGGTTAATGAAACTGTCTGCAGGGATTTATTTCCACAGACCCAGCATCAGTTATGATTTCTGAGAACATTTGGAAATGCAGTAAATTTTAGCAAGGCTTCATTATTGTTTCTTAGATGTGCATCGAAAATAGAGGAGTTGAAGACAGCTTGGTAGAGCTGCTGGAGTCAGAAGATCACAAGTGAATCAATTGGTCTCTTAGGCCTTTCTAAGTTCCTTACACATGTGAAGTGTGACAGACATCTCTGCTTTGTTTCCAGTTCCTAAGAAACATGATCAACCAGCTTTCAGATAGTTGAGGAGGAAGAAGAAATCTTTAAAATGCTTTTTATCCACAGCCCAGAGCAGTGTGTTTCTATGTCTCTGGAATGATTCTCCCCGTTTCTCTCATTCTTTTTGCCTTGGGTCCAGACTGGGGTTTTCTCCAAGGCCCAACCAAATAACCAAATTTCAGCCTTTGGATCTCTGTGGGCTGCAGCAGCATTGGGTTGCAGGTCACAGGCAACCTGGTACAGATGAGCACCACCATGGACTCCTCCAAGCGGCTGCTAGGACTTTGTAGTCTTTGATCTTGCAGTGTTGTCACTTGCACCCAAGGGCTGTGTGTACCTGTGAGCCTCGTTATGCCGAACAAAGAACGCTCTCTGTCCTAAGGAGCTTACAGTAGGATATCAGTATTGATTTTTTTTTTCCCTCTGCTGCTGTGGTTACTAGGTAAGAAAACATGGAAAGTCTTGCTTTATTATTCACATACCCTTCAGCCATAAAGCATTCTATTTAGGGGCACAACCTCTAAACGTTGGGTCAAATGGCAAGGTTGCACAGGCTGAAATATCCTTCAAAATAATTTTGCATAATGCATTTCAGATTCAAGTTATTTTTCCATACTATTCCTTTATTTTAGAAAAGGGCATATTTTTTTAAGCAATGAGCTACATGTAAAATGAAAAGACAATCCAGTCTGTCTTTTCTATGTGGTATTACTGATAATCACCACTTTTCTCATGGTTACTATAGTAACTTGGCATCCTTATCTGCCACCTTTTTTGGCACCTTGAAAAAAAACTATTTAAATTCAGTTCCCTGATAAACTGAACGCTTGGCTTCACGATACCCATGGGAGTATATAAGTGTAACAACAATACTTGTCATTTTTTTTCTTATTTGGTGTTTAACTTGCTTGTTAGCAGCTGTACAGGCAGTTCTAGCTGTGATGTGTCGGGATCCTGCTGCAGGCGTTATAACCAGCGCAAACGCGAGCGCCCTGGATGAAACCCTGGAAACAGCTGTGAGCTCCCAAGGGGTCACATGCAGCAGCCCACGATATGAAGACCTGAGCGGGATTTTGCTCTTATCATGCCACTCGAAAAGCAGTTCTGTTTCCAAGCCTGACAGTTTTCAAGAGGAAAAATAATCTGTGGACATTAAACTACATGGTAAGAATTATTATGAAGGTTCCTGTGGTAAATCAGTGGTGAATCAACACCCTTGTGATACTTTAAACCCCTTTCCAAGTGTGTGCTATCCAGTCTGCATGGCAGATGAGAGTGGACTCGGGCTGGGGATGCTGGAGAGCCGAGAGACATCTTTGGAGGTGAGTTCAAGGCCAATGCAAACACCGGGTGCCCCAGCTGAGCACGACTCCCCAGAAGTTCCACCCCTTTTTTTGCTCTAAGGGCAGCAAAATGGTGCTTGTGATAACGGTTGTTTCTCTAGTTCTGTCAAAATATGGCCCAGATATATCCCTCTGCTCATGCAGCCCCTGTGCTGGTGTCCTTACACCTCTCTGCACAGAAGGTATCCTCGTCCCTGGAACAGAAAAGGAGATGTCAACACCTGAACAGCTGGTGTTAGCTCCTGGCCATTGGGCACAATGGTCCAGCACGGCTGCAGAGGGGCTGAATGCTTTGCTGAAGCCAGAGCATTTGGTGATCCATCCCTGCAGCTGTGGCCTCTTCAGCAGGTCTCAGGGTTTTTTCTTTGTTATCGTGTTCTTTTGCCGGAAGTTTTGAAGAGCAGACAGGTTTGAAGATATGTGGTTGCAAAACAACAGAGGAA